GGTCCCCCCCCCCCCCCCCCCCCGCCCGGTGTCACCGTGAAAAGCGTCCCCCCACAGCACACACACCGGGAGCGAGCAGAGCGAGTTTATTGTCGCGACAGCGGCGACACCGCGACACCGGGAACAGAACATCGCCGCGGCAGCAGCCACGGGGCAACGGGGTCACTCCGCTGCCGCCTCCGCCATCTCCACGTCCCCGCTGCTGTTCCCGGTCGCCTTCTCCTCCTTCGGCCTCTTCGCCTCGGTCACCGCCGCCTCCAGCGCTGGGGACACCCGGGACGGGTCAGAGCTCCGGTGTCACCCCCGGTGTCCCCCCCGGTGTCCCCTCCCCCGCTCACCCTTCTTGGCCGCCCCCCGCAGCCGCTTCAGCTCCTTCCGCCGCCGCTTCCCCCACAGCGGGGCCGGAACCGCCGGGACCGACACCGACCTGAGCGGAGACCCCCGGGACCCCCCTCAGTCACCGGGGGGGACACCGGGGGGACACCGGGGACAGCAGGGGGGGGGCGCTCACCGCCGCTTCTGCCGCCGCCCCCTCGCCAGCTCCCGCCGCCGCTTGAAGAGCTTCTTGCGCAGCTCCTGCGGGGCGGAACGGGGACACCGGGAGCGGCCCGGGGTTACCGGAGCGCCCTCACGAAACCCTCAGACCCCTCCCGGGAACCGGGAGCGCCGTGAGGAGCGGGGCTCCCGCCGCCCCCGGGGCTCCCCCTCCCGCCGGGACCCCCCTCGAGCCCCTCCCGGGCCCCCCGGTCACCGTTCGGGGCCGGTTGATTTTGCCTCCGATCCCCATCGCGCCCCCACGCGTGCGCCGAGCGCCGCTTCCGGTTCGGCCACACTTCCGGTCGTTAAACCCCGCCCCCTTTCTCATCCCCGGGGATCTCATTGGCCCGTGAGCGCGCGACGCTCATTCTGATTGGCTGCGATCCCAAAAGCCCCGCCCATATTATAATTTTCCTTGGGCCACAGCCCCTTCTCTGTTACTGTGTTTTCATTGGTTGCTGGGCGCGCGCCGATGCCTCTGATTGGCCGAATTCCCCGAGGCCACGCCCACACGATACTATATAAAATGCTGGCGGTGGACTGTGCGCTCTTTCCGTGGCCGGTGAGCGGTGCGGGGGCGGCTCGGGGGTTTGGGGTGGGTTTGGGCCTAAGAGCGGGCGGAAGGCACCGGGAGGCTCCTCCCGTTCTTGGCGGGCCCCGGCGGTCCCGTGCCGGGGTCTGTGATGTGCGGAGGGAAAGCAGAGACCGGCGCGAAGTCTTCGGTGCCGGCGGTCGCGTCCGCCGGTCCCACCCTCACACGCCGGGACAAGGCTCTGGCGCGGCTCGGGAGCTCCGCAGCGCTCGGGGTCGCCGCTTCACCGCCATTTTCTCCTTTGCAGGGCTCGCTGAAGGACGGAGAACGCAACGGGACCGCGCCGGCACTGCGTGGACGATTTTGTGCTTTAGATTAGTAATAAATCGCTCTAAACCGCTTTGATCTCGTGTATTCCTTCGTGAGCGGCGCGTCCCGGGGTAAGGGCGGGGATCTCCCGTCCCGTTCCCGGCGCTGATCGCGCTCCGTGGCCCCGTTCCCTACGGTCGGGGGGGGATCAGCCGCGAGGCGGCGGCGTCCGGGTCCTCCCAGTGGCCGTCTCTGTGGTTCCCGTGGGCCGGAGTGGATTTCCGGTCCTCCCAGCCGCTCTCTATGATCTAACTAAAGGAGCGGACTATTTCCGGTCCTCCTAGCCGCATCTCTATGGTCTCACGTGGCGGAGAGTACTTCCGGTCCTCCCAGCCGCCGTCTCTATGATCCTCAGAGGACCCGGGGGAATTTCCGGTCCTCCCAGCCCTATTCTCTGTGAGCCCCATGCGCCGGAGGCTTTTTGGTCCTCCCAGCCACCGTCTCTACTCTCCCCGCGGGCCAGAGCGGCCCCGGAAGTGGCGGGGACGGAGGCTCGATGGCGCTGGATCGGCGGTGGCCGCTGGCGCTCGCCCGCGGCGCCGTCCCGGTCGCGCTGGGGCTGCTGCTGTGGGTGGCGATTGCGGGCGGCGAGCAGGAGCGGCAGCAAACGCTGAAGGTGCGGGGAGAGGGAGGCGGCGGGGACGCGCTCGGGGAGCGGAACCGGCGGTGACCCCTCCGTTTCTCCCGGCTCGGCAGGCGCAGCCCGGCGGGGACACCGCGAGTTTGACGCAGCGGCGGCGCCACAATGAGCTGATCATGGCGGCGCTGCGCGAGGCGGCCGAGACCGACGAGAACGTGGCGCAGCGGCGGGTGCCGTGGCGGAAGTGACGTCAGCACCGGCAGCCCACCGGGAGACCCTCACTCGCCGCTTCCCGGTGTCCCGCCCTTCCCCCCGGAACCATCAGCGCCGGCCGCGGTTGCGCCCGGAACAATTTTTTGCGCGGTTGCGCCCGGACTTTTATAAACCGCGAACACTTCCGGCGTCTGTTTCCGGCGCCGCCATGTCGCCGCGGGGCGCGGAGCCCGCACCGGACGCGGTTCCGGTGCCCGGGCCCGGTTCGGCCTCGCCGCGGCCGCTGTTCGGCGGCTGCTGGAGCTGCCGCTTGCTGAGCGGCGCGGGGCTGCTGATGGCCGCCATTTGGGTGTACCAGGGGCCCCGCAGCACCATGAGGATGGGGATCCCCCCCTCCATGGGCGCCCTCGCCCAGATCGCCTTCGCCGCCGGTGAGGGGCGCGGGGAACCGGGGGGGGGCGGGGAGAGGCTCGGTTTTGGCGGGAAACGTGAGGGGAGGGTTTCCATGGCAACCACGTGGGGAGAGCATAAGGGCGGCCCGGTTTGGGCGGGAAACGTGAGGGGAGGGTTTCCATGGCAACCACGTGGGGAGAGCATAAGGGCGGCCCGGTTTGGGCGGGAAACGTGAGGGGAGGGTTTCCATGGCAACCGCGTGGGGCGGCCCTGGGAAATGGCGGAATTCCGCTGGAATTCTCCCGGAATTTGGGGAATTGGGGAGGGGGCTCCGGGCTGGGGGCGCTCCCCAAGTGACCCCCGGTGTTCCCGCAGGTTTGGGGGCCTGGGGCATCGTCATCCTCGCCGATCCCGTGGGAACGTGGCACCGCAAGCAGCCCTGAGCGGGGCCCAATAAAAGCGCTGGGACCCCTCCTCTCCCCCCAAAATCTGTTTTTGGGGAGGGGGAGGTGGGACAGGACAAAGCTCGGGTTTATTTGGGGTTTTTTTTTGGGGGGTTTATTTGGGGTTTTTTGGGGGGTCCCCATCTCAGCTCCCCTCCTTTTTGGCCACGATGATGACGGCAGAGGGAACCAGGCCTGGGAGGGAAGGGTGGGCATTAGGATCCCCCAAAAAATCTCTCAAAGTCCTGAAATTCCCCCAAAAACTTCCCCCTGTGAAGCGTCAAATCTTAATTTCCCTGCAAAGATCCCTCCTGAACCCCCAAAACCTCCTCGGGGATCCCCCAAACCCATCCAGGGACCCCCTGAGACCCCCAAATTCCCCCAGAATCCCCTTGAGGATCCCCCAAACCCACCCAGGACCCCCAAATTCCACCCCCAAAACCCCTCGGGGATCCCCCAAACCCATCCAGGAACCCCCAGGACCCCCAAAAATTCCCCAAACTCACCCAGAACCCCCAAATTCCACCCCCAAAACCCCTCGGGGATCCCCCAAACCCATCCAGGGACCCCCTGAGACCCCCAAATTCCCCCAGAATCCCCTTGAGGATCCCCCAAACCCACCCAGGACCCCCAAATTCCCCTCAGGGATCCCCCAGACCCATCCAGAAACCTCTGGGACCCCCAAATTCCACCCCAAAAAACCCTCAGAGATCCTCCAAACCCAATCAGGAACCCCCAGCACCCCCAAAACCCACTCGGGATCCCCCAAACCCACCCAGGACCCCCAAATTCCACCCCCAAAACCCCTCGGGGATCCTCTAAGCCCATCTAGGAACCCCTGAGACCCCCAAATTCTGCCCAGAATCCCCTTGAGGATCCCCCAAACCCACCCAGGACCCCCAAATCCCCCTCAGGGATCCCCCAAATCCACTCAGGTCCCCCAAATCCCCCTCAGGGATCCCCCAGACCCATCCAGAAACCTCTGGGACCCC